ACTTCCTGAAAGAAAAGCCAAGTACCATATGTTTTCACTGGTGAAATCTATCAAACATTCAAAGAAAAACTACTATAAATACTTCACAAATTCTTTTAATAAATAGAAGAGCTGGAAACAGTTTCCAACTCATCCTATGAGGGCAATAGTACCCTGATAGTAAAACTAGAAGAAAAAAGCTATGACTTAATATTGCTTATGAATATATTTGCAAAATTACTCATCAAAATACTAGCAAACCAAATCCAATAACATATTAAAAGGATTATACACCACGAACAAGTAGGATTTATCCTAGGAACACAAGGTTGATTTAACATCCAAAAATTAATTATGGAATAGGCCATTTTGACAGAATAAAAGAAAAAAATATTATACAGTCATTTCGAAAACATGTGATGTACTACAACTACATTTCATGATAAAAATACTCATTTATACCTAGTAAAGACCATCTATAAAAAATCAATAGTTAACCTCATACTTAATAGTGAAAGAATGGATATTTTCACCCTAATATCAAGAACCAGACACAGATGTTCGACTTCATCACCTTAATTTAACATTGTGTTGGAGTTTCCGGCCCAGGCAACTAGGTAAGAAGAGGGAATAAAAGACATCTAAATTGGAAAGAAGGAATTAAAACTATCTCTATTTCCAGATCACATTATTTTGTATACAGAAAATCCTAAGGATTACACTAAAAACCTGTGAAAGCTGAAAAATAAAAGATCAATTTCTAAAAATCAATTATTTCTATAGGTTAGCAATGAAAATTATGCATTTGAAATTAAAACATTTCCAACCAAAATGGCATGAAAAAGAACAAAATATTTAAGTATAACAAAAAGGTTTATAAGATGTGTACACTAGAAAATACAAAACGTTGCTTAAAGATATTTAAAAAACCCTTAAATAAATAGAAAGACATCTCATGTTCATGGATTGAAAGACTAATACTGTTAAGATGCCCATTACTTCCTAAATTGGTGGAAATATTCAATGCAATCCCTGTCAGAATTCTTGCTGGCTTTTTTGAAGAAATTGACAAATTGAAGTTAAAATTCATGAGGAAATGCAAGGGACCCAGAATAGTCAAACGATCTTGGCTCATATTTCCTGATTTCAACCCTTACTGCATAGCTACAGTAATCAAGACAGTGTGGTACTGGCATAATTACAAACATATGGTCAATTTATTTTTGACAAATGTACCAAGAAAATTAAATAGTGAAAAAATAGTCATTTCAACAAACACTGCTGGGGAAACTGAATGACCATATTCAAAGGAAAAAAGTTGGAACCTTACCTCAAATCATATGCAAAACAAAAAACAAATAACAACAAAGAAATAAACAAACAAAAACATAAAAACTCAGAATGGATCATAGACTTAAACATAAGGGATTAAGCTATAAATTCCTGCCAAAAATGTAGGAGTAAATCCTAATGATCATAGGTTAGGAAACTTTCGTAGTTAACACATTCAAAACATAAGTAGGAAAAAAACAAATTAAATTAAACTGTATTATTTAAAAACTTTATGCTTCAAATTATATCCTCGAGAAAAAAAAAACACAGAATGAGAGAACATATGTCTGATAAATAACTTATATCCAGATATTTAAATGAATCTTACCATTCAATAAAAAAGACAGTAACTCAATTTTAAAATGGTGAAAGGAATTGAATAGGTATTTCATCTGAGAAGATATACATGTGACCAATAAGTGTATGAAAAGTTGTTCTACATCATTAGTGAAAATCAAATCAAAACCACAATGAGATGCTATTTACACTTACTGGATGGCTATGATAAAAAAGATGACAACAGCAACTTTAGCAAAGATGTGGAGAAATTGGAACGCATATATGCTGCTGGTGGGAATGTAAGATGGTGCAGTCACTTTGAAAAATAGTCTGGCAGTTTCTCAAAAGTTAAACATAGTGTTATCATATGACCCACAATTCCATTCCAATGTATATATCCAAATGAAATGAAAATCTATATCCATACAAAACCTTATTTATGATTATTCGTGGCAATACTATTCATAGTGGCCCAAGAATGGAAACAACCCAAATGTCTATCAGCTGAAAAATGTGTCCATACAATCTGGCATATCCATACAATGGAATATTATTTAGCAATAAAAAGAAATGAAGTATTAATTCATGCTATGGCACAATGACTCTTAAAAACATTATGCTAAGTTAAAGAATCTAGCCACAAAAGAACATATTTGTATTAAATGGCCAGAATAATGAAGTATATTAGTAAGTTGCTTAGGGTTGGTATAGAATAGGGATTGACTGTTAATGGGAACAAGGATTTTTTTGTTTTAGGGTGTTGAAATGTTCTAAAATTTAATTGTGCTGATGGCCATGCAACACAGTGAGTAGACTGAAAAACGTTAGATGGTATACTCTAAATGAATAGGTTGTATGGCATGTGAATTATTTTCAATAAAGCTGTTTGAAAACAAAAACAACAAAAACAAATGATTCACAAGATCTGGGATTTTCAAAAGCTGAGCAAGACGATGTATTGAGGAGCATATGACAAAAGTTGGTACATCTTAGGCTGCTGGGGTTGCAAGTTACAGAAAAAGAAAAAAAACACAAACAAACAGAGCAAGTTTACCTTAGAAATATGCTGAAGGTGATTCTCCAGTTCAAATAAATGAGAGGACTAGGGGAATTCTTTTCTGTGCCACAGATTTCAAAAATTTCTAAGCTTACCCTTATTAAATGACTGAATTAAAGCATAGGACTAAAATGCTTGCTCACAAGGAAGTGTGAAAGCACAGAGCTCAAAAAATAAATGGAATTAAGAGGGATTAAATTAAATTTAGAGGTGAGATAGGGAGGGAGTAAAACAGCATATGGTGACTGGAGCTGCTACCAGTGTAAATTTCTAGACTTTGCAAGAAGGCAGCAGTAGCTCAAATGGCAGCATGAGAAGACAGTTTGAGTAGGTGGATTCCCTCTAAAATGACAGGTGCTTATTCAAAAATATTAACCCCGTAATGAGAACTTTCACTCACTTCTGTTTCACGTGAGTGTTTATGCACTGAAATTGACTGCCTGACAGCTAATTATGGCTAAAATAAACATTTACCCCATTTCCTCTTCCTTCAGATACTATTGAGTTTCTGCTGTGGTCTATGGCAGTGGTTAACTCTGGCTGGACATTAAAATATCCTGGGCTGAGATGTCCCTAAATAGATGAATGGATAAATAAACTGTGGTTCATACAGACACTGGAATATTATTCAGTAATAAGAAGAAATGAGCTTTCAAGCCATGAAAAGACATGAAGAAAACTGAGATATATACTGCTAAGTGAAAGAAGTCAATCTGAAAAGGCTACATACAGAATGATTTCAACTAGGTAATTCATCTGGAAAAGGCAAAACTGTGAAGACAGAACAAAAGAAAACAGCAGTAGTTGAGAACCAGGGGTTCCAGTGGAGGGAAAAAAGAATGAATTATTGGAGCATAGGGGAATTTAAGGCCAGTGAAACTATTTTGAATCATAAGTAATACTGGGTGTATGCCATCCATTTGTTAAGACCTATAGAATGTACAACACAGAGTGAATGTTAGTGTCAACCACAGACTTTAGTTAATAATTATTCATCAAAATTGTGTCATCAGTGTAGCAAAGGTACCACACTGGTGCAATATGGGAACTCCCTGTACTTTCCACTCAACCTCTGTAAACTTAGAACTGCTTTTATTGTGGTTACTAAAAAATAATAATAATAACCTTGGGAGATTTAAAAAATATATCTTTACACAGTCCTCATTCAAAGATGCTGATTTAACTATTATTGGGTAAGATATTAGTATTTTTTAAAAGTATACAAGACAATGATAGTATACATTTGGGAATGAGAACTACTGGTTAATGACAACACTAAGTATGTTATTATAATAAAATTTTATGAAGAAATGTCTAGGTATTGGGGTTTGGCTGGTTATCTAAATTTGTCAGAAATGGACCAGGGCTATGAAGCTATGATATATTTTATTAATTATTTGACTTTTTATGGCATGCTTTTTTTTTATTTATTTTTTTAATGAGATGGAGTCTCACTCTGTCACCCAGGCTGGAGTGCAGTGGCATAATCTCAGCTCACTGCAACCTCTGCCTCCTGGGTTCAAGTGATTTTCCTGCCTCAGCCATCCAAGTAGCTGGAATTACAGGTATGCACCCCCACGCCCAGCTAATTTTTGTATTTTTAGTAGAGACAAGGTTTCCCCATGTTGGCCAGACTGGTCTTGAACTCCTGATCTCAGGTGATCCACCTGCCTCAGTCTCCCAAAGTGCTAGGATTATAGGCATTAGCCTCTGCACTCCACCAGAATATTTTGATTTTTTTTTTAATGAGATACGTGAGAGATTTTGGCTAAGTTCAACTTTATTAGTGCTATGACATTCGTAGCTTTTACAATAGGTGAAACATACTATAGCTTCAAGTATCAAGACTTCTTGCAGAGATTAAGTGGAATAAGAAATTGAGAAGAACTTTAAATTTTTAGGCTTCAAATTATTTTACTTAAATAAAATATTGATATCTTAAATGTAAAATTTCTTTGAACATTTTAAAATATTTCTGTGAAACTCATAATGGAAGGGGATTCATATCAAATATGGAGTATATTTTAGCTGTTATTTTATCTTTGGTACATCACAAAGTTATTTAATCTTATTGCAGAAAATTTGATGAGATATAATGAAATATAGGTTGATATAATTTTAGCTGGGAAATAGTAAAGGATATATAATTTGGACTGAGCAAATCTTAGAGTTAGTTTTTTTGTTTTTTTTGTTTGTTTGTTTGTTTGTTTTGATGGGCTGTGGAGCTTTTTGTGGGATATACCTTATGAGTTAGAGGATCACAGATAATCCAGGGAGAACTCATTGATATTTTGATTGGAGCCTCTTGGGTATGGACGCAAACTAGTCCTGACAAAAATGCTAACATGCTTACCTGAGAGGGACAATCATAACCCAAGATGGACCCTACGTAAGATGTTCAAATCCAATAGGTAAGAGTGCAAAAGGCTTGAAGGATTCATGATGGCTACTTCTATCTCTATTAAGTCTTCCCTAGAGAGGATATTCTCATGACAGGCTGCAAAATAGAAACACTTGAGAAGTTTTCAAAAATCCTGATGTCCAGGTGACAAGTAGACTAGTTAAATAAGAATATCTTGGAGGAGACCTAGCATCAAAAAGAGAGGCAGCACTTATTCTTTCATGATTTGGAAGAACACACTGCTTATGCATAGATCACCTACTTCTTTCTTCTCTCACTTTGAAATTGGCCTGACTGCAGAGAGATGCATTATCTATCTTTGCATCTATGCTGTGATTATTACTGGGCTTGTGACTGGGTAGGTAAATCTGACAAATCTGGGGTGAATTATTAGCAGTTTGCCCTTCTCCAACTTAGCTTTTGTCCCCAATTAAAGCTGACAGCTTGATCTCTGTCATGCTTCCAAATATATCTCTCAGTTTGTTCCAAAATAAGGACCTAATTTACTAGCCCATTATGTCTGTGAAGCACTTATGAACCAGAGAAATTTCAAGGAACCCAGTTGCTCGAAATACATCTGGCTTCTAATAAGATTCTATTCTCCTGTTCTCTCTCACTCTTTCTTTGGGGCTGGAGGCTGCATGTTCAGCTTTATTCTCTTTTTCTCCAGATAAGTCTGTCTTTGAGTCCCTTGATGACTCATGGTGAATCTAGGTTTCTATGACACTGGTTCTAACAGCAGTTGAACAATACCTTATAACTCCAGGAACCAATGCCAACAAGTTGTATTCCTGAATCTCAAAATGTAAATTTCCAAGAGAAAATAAGATTATCTTATCTTGAAATATATGCTAACTTCTCTTCTCATCAACTGTGCTAGCTAGAAAGTCACAAGTTGCACAGAAGGCTGCCCACTCCTTCATCAGTCTAGGTCTGAGGATGTTTCCCAGAAAGGTGTTGGCTGGAAGGGCATCCCACAATATAGCTACTGAATCACCAGCTTTGTTCTGTTTTTATATTTATTCCAAGTTTCCCGTGTAACTTTCAAAAAGTTCTTGAAAGCTTTTATCCCTTAATTGTAAAAATTATCAAAACTGCCATTGTGAGAATGAGACAATTAGATGCACAATTTAGAGAACTTTAGAAAAAGTTGGATTTATGATATTTTTAGGTAGTTCAAATGTATTTCTTAAACTGCAGGTTAAATAAGAGTTATTGTTTAAACTTCTGAAGTTGTTACTATTATTTAAGGATAAAATGATTATTGGAGATGATCTTACCTGGGGAAAGAGAATGATCACAATCATTTTACTTCTAATGTTTCTTTTTTAGGCATTAATTGTACCTCTACAACATTTTTTAAAAGAACTTCTTCAAAGTGTTTAAACTCTATTATTGAATGTTTAATTTTGCTTAAAAATAGTCTCAACTGAATTTTACCGCACTAGTGATCTACACAAATTGATTTTTGCTTTTTGAGAAAAGTGTTGAAATGTGGCTTGTTAAGGAAATACTGTTTCATTTTTAAAAATATGTTCTCTTATACTTTTGTTGTTTAGATTCCTTTCATTTAGTTTTACTTTAATGTTGTAGGATATGAGATTTCCTAGGGAGACGAAAGTGTCCATTTTGATTTTTCCTGCTATTAACTAATTATTCACTGGAGGCAGCACTAGTTTTAAGTTGCAGTAGCATTAGTCAGACTTTTTAGAAGACCTGTATTTGATTCCATCTTTCTAACTAATGAATTGTATGACCTTGGGTTGGTGACAATATTTCTGAACTTCAGTTTTCTCATCTTTGAAAGAACAGAGTTAGAATATATTTTCTTTAATTCCCCTTCTAGTTCTGATGTATTATTCCATGAATGGCTCCATAGAGCAGAACTCTTGGTTCATGGTTATTATGGTAAACTATTAAAAGGCTATAGAACTACATTTATAGATTTCTATGAAACACCATCAGAGGTTCACTACTTGTGCCCCAAGAACTTAACAGAGGATCCTAAAAGGTACCGATATTCCTTGATTTATTCATGTACCTTAGCATTTGCTCCTGATCCAAATGGGCAATCAGTTTTCCTGAGGCATTAAGGTGTCATGATGGTAAAGGCAGGGAGTGATGTGTACCGAGAAACAGAGAATATGTGATTTAAAACTTGTGTAAGTAGTAGGGTCTTTTCTGAGGAACCTGAAAAATTTTACAAAATTTAAGAAATCCTTATGCATGAGGTTCATTCCAGGTTTTATTTCTTGATCTTGTTATCGCTTATACTTGCTCTGCATAATGGGGATACAACAGAAGAAGGGCCCACGAGACAGGGCTAGACTAAGCCGGTAGAATGTCATTCCCGTTGTGTTCTGTTGATCAAAGCAAGCCACAAGACCAAGCCTTGTAGGGAAATAGGCTCCATCTCTTGATGGGAGAATCTGCAAAGTGTTGCAATCATTTTTGAAATCTATCACATCCTCAGATTCTGATAAAATTGACAACTGATATATACTTTGCAGAGTTTCCATAAGCATTCAGTAAAATAGAGTGCTCGTTTCAGTACTTGGTATAGAATGTCCACTCAATAGGTGAAACCTCTTTATCAGCTACATAGTTATTATTAGAATATCATATCTGGGTTTTGGTCATCAGAGTGACTAAATCTTGTTATGTCTACTCCTATCTTAAAAAAAAGTGCATCATTTATTTTCCACTTATGCTACCACTGCCTCAATTGTGACCCTCCTCACTTCTTACCATGATTATTGAAATAGACTCCCAACTGGTCTCCTTCAGTAATAAACAATTGATTACCTGTCTCTATTGGGGAACTGTAAACTCCATGAGGGTAGGGACCCTGACTTTATTGCTTATTGCTGCATTTTCCTTTCCTGCACATTTCTTATAGTAAATACTAATAAATATTTGTTGAATATATGAATAGATTAAACTCTGCATATAAAGAAAATTTTATAACATGCAAATCTTGTTACTCTACTTCTTTACATTCTGCCAACGACTCCCCATAGTGCCCAAGATGAAATTTAAGCTTCTCAGCTTAACCTGCAAGGCTCTCAATGATCTGACCCCTTCCTTGTTAACTTCCTCTCTCACTCTTCTTATACATGTAACCTATATTCCAGTAGTTGCCTGAAACTATCATTCAGAAATGGTATCCTCTTCCCAAGAATGGCCTGAGCTCCCTTCTTCATGTGGCTTAACTCCTATATGTTTTAAGACTTTGGCGGAAAATTTCCTCCTCTGGGACACTCACCTTGATGGTTCTGAATTTGGCCAGACATTACTCCCTTGTCTCTTAGCACTCTATGCGTAACTTTGTCACCACAATTTTCAACCTTCCAAAGTAGGTACCTCATCCTCCACATGACCAGCAAGCACCGGCATGTAGTAGAAGCTTTGTAATTTTATGTGAATGAATGAAGGCAGCATAACAGGAGTGGAAAAAGGTAGCTTTAAAAATTCATTGCCAGAGCCAGGTGCAGTGGATCATGCCTGTAATCCCAGCACTTTGGGAGGCAAAGGTGGGTGAATAACTTGAGGCCAGGAGTTTGAGACCAGCCTGGCCAACATAGTGAAAACCCATCTCTACAAAAAATACAAAATTTAGCTGGGCATGATGACAGGTGCCTGTAATCCCAGCTACTTGGGAGGCTGAGGCAGGAGAATCGTTTGAACCCTGGGAGGCAGAGGTTGCAGAGGGCCGAGATTGCACCACTGCACTCCAGCCTGGGTGACAGAGAGAGATTCTGTCTCAAAAAAAAAAAAAAAAAAAAAAAAAAAAAGTTATTGCCAGAAGTTTGATGGAGTCACACCCTGCTTAAGCACTTAAGCCAAGATACGTTTATTTATTCCATTATTAAAGTCTCGCTAGAATGTTCTTCCACTAAATAGACTAAATTGTGTTTCTTTATTCTTAAAATAATTATCAATAGTGAGTTTGGTGTTATTCTATCCCCAAATGACTATTGTCCTAACCTTTATTTGCACTGAAGCTTGACTTCATTTTTCTTTGATTGCTTTTGTTGATTGAGCAAGTGGCTTACATTTTATTTCTGAACAATCTCAAAAGGTTTAGACTAGTCCAAGCAAAGCCATGTTTGTAAAATGCTAAACTGTTCATTTGGCAATGACTAAATTATTTTTGGCATCTTGAGCACAGAGCTGGTCTCAGCTTCTTAGACAATAATAATGATATTGTGCTAGTATAATTGCCTTCAGGAAAGAAGAGAAATCCAGCATCGATTTGACAAGACTAATGTTTAAGTGGATCCTGCTGCATCTGCCTTGGAGTAGAAAGAGAAAAATAAATGATAGTTAGACAAAGCACCACGTGAATCCTGTGCCTGCCATTGGTGCATCAGTTAAAGTAGCCACAGGCAACTCTTTTAGTTACTCTTCTTTGATTTACTATCGTTCGTACAATAGAACATGAATGCGTTCTAAACAATTTTAGGTCACCTAGTGCTTTTTATTATTTCCCAACTATAGCCCAGTTCTCTAAATTTTTAACTATTTAAAGGAAGTGACAAGACATAATTTAGTAAAGAAAAATACAGCAGAACATCACAACCTACAATCTAAATAACCACAATTTCCTCTTTCTTAAGAATAAACTAGAGTAACCCTTCCATAAATATATTTGATAATTTCAGAGGATGGGTGAATTTCTCTTTGTAAAAAAAAATTTATCCTTTACTTTTCATTGTAATGTTGTCTAAGGTTGAGCACGTGCCTTCATTACGTATCAGTTAATTCCTCTCCTGGTAGCACTAATAATAAATGACATGCTTACAATAAAATACAAAGAATGAAATGGAGTTTGCTTTATGAAAGCCAACATCCCCTTTATCCTGCTAAGAAGACTGAAGCCAAGGGAACGCAGGTGACTAGGACAAGGTTATTCAGCTATCTAATAGAAAAACTAAACCGGAGACTAAGACTTCACTTTCTTTCGTTTATATTCTTTCTCCTGAGACTCTAATTTTCATATTATTTTGTTTCTTAGTCTTTTCCTTCTGAATACTTATATGTAACACATTGTTTCAAAGGTAGCGTTATAACATTGTTTCATTGAAGATTGTTTGGTTGTATTATCAAGAAAAAAACGTATTCCAGCTGTAGCCAAGGTTTGCATGGAATTTGCTAGCTTCTCCCCACACTTGTGTGGGCTTTCTCTGGGTACCCCTGTTTCCTCCCACATCCCTAGGATGTACACATCAGTGAGTTGGAGTGTCTAAGTGGTCCTGGTCTGAGTGCTTGTGGGTGTGCCTGTGAGTGCACCCTGCAATGGAATGGCATCCTGTCGGGGCAGGCGGCAGGGAGGTTGTTCCTCACCTTCTCCCTAAACTTTGGAGATAGGCTGTGGCCATCCCCAACTCTGAACTGGAATAATTAAGGAAATAATTGTCTTACCTGTTTTCATGAATCTTTCTTAAATGTTTACATTTACTTTTATTTCAGTGTTTAATATTAGAAGTGTTTGAGGTATTTATTTTGAAGTTTGATGATGCTTTTGTGACCAGAAATATGCCATAGATACTTAACTGTTTTTTGTATCAATTAGCCTATGTAAAGTTGATTTCGATATGTGTCGTTTTGCTTAAAGTCACAATTTCCAGGAAATTATTGAGGACATTAAGAAAGGATTTATTGTACATTTTAAACAGAGTGAGATGTTTAACTTAAAGAAATTGGTTTTGAGAAGGAT